GAGTCAGCGGCGTGACGAGACCCGGTTCTTGCCGTTCCCGGGAGCGGGGCGGGAAGGAGAGGGGTGCGGCTCAGGCAGCAGGCTTCTTACAAGGTGGGGGGGTTACATCGTCCGAGGACAGCGTGTAAAACTTCCGGGAAACTTTAGGGGCTTAACTTTTCTGGCAAAGCTAAACCGTTTTTGTTTCACGTGTAGTAAGGATGGTGGTGACATTTATTAGTGTATTAATTATTGCCGTTGTGTAGTGCATGGTGTTCTTGTTTCTGAACAAATGGATATGATGCTGTCAAAGAAGTGAATTTATTTAGCCTAAAAAAGGTAGAGTGTATAGATTAACCTCAGCGAAGGCCTGCGGTATAAACTGTTTATAATTCAAAGGTCTACTTAGGCTGCTGTGGGTGAAGTTCTCTTAGGTTTTTTTTCAATCGATGTCAGTAATTTGATTTGTATTGACTTAAAGGGTTTTGGTCTGAAATGGTCTTTCTCTAAAATTTCTCATCTACTCCAAAGGTGATTATGTATGTGGAAATGCTTTGCAGCCTGGTGTTACAGAAATGAGACTTTTGTATGAACAAGAAGCATTCAACAATAACTTGGAGGTTTAGGGCAGTGGCTGCTGTGGTTTTTTCTTCGAAATTCATTTCTCTCAACTGACAGATTTTTAGGCCGGGTGTTACTTGTATCAAATCTTTCACTTCTCAGGGTGTTACAGGCGGGTCTTCAGCATTCTTGTTGCATCACATGAGGCAGAGCTGTGGGTTAGTAAGAAGCTAAAACAACAGTTTAAGTGCTGCTGAGGCTTCACTTACGCTGCTCGAAGGACACGACTTAAATTATTTCAAATTACTAAGTCACATCTGTAGCATATTAAACAAATTATTTTTTTACTAGAGGCAGGGTTGAGTACTTACGCATCAAACCTAGGCAAAATATATGAATGTAGGCTACTCATTTTCCTTCTCTATCCTATTTTTTCCCTCTCTAACCTCATTGTTTCATACATAAACTTACTTTGCAAGCTACCTAGTGCCTTGGTATTTGATTTGTTCTGTAAATCCATAGCACAGTTTTGTGTTATTTCACTAATTGACGGTGTCTTTACAAAAATCTGCCTGTGTCTCATTGAAATCCACAGATGCCAGTATGTGGATTTGGCATTTTGTTTCATATTGACAGAGGCATACTGTCAATGTGAAACATGTCCTGGATCAGCACAGACTTCCTTTTTTTCTTGTGTACTTTTTTCAGTGTGACTTCAATGTTACTTAGCAAATACATGATACTCTTATCAGTTCCCTAGAGTGGGAATTACATAATTATGATGATAACATGCTAAAACGCATATGAAGTAATTAAAACTGTATATGTGTAGTTTTAAATACTGTTTTCATTTCACTTGTTTCTTGTGTGGTCAAAAAGAATGTCGATTGTTAGAAGACCGGGCTCTTCTGTCTGTCGTTCTTTATGCTGCCTGTTCATTTGTGTTTTCCTTTCCGTTTCTCATTAATTAGTTTGTTGCGGTGCTTGGGTTCTTCACATAGGGTCTTATCAAATGATTTTCTTTGTATGAGATTTTGCTTTTTTAGGGCAGTTTGTTTATTTTAATATCTCCCCTTTTTAATGAACGATTTCTTTAAAAGAATCAACGTGCAGTTCTTACGATGTGAACTGAGAGGAGCTTACTTATTTATCTGCAATTAGACCACCACCAATAACAAGAATCCATACCTCTGGTGCCATAGAAGCACCTTGTTGAAATGTCCATACGTTTAAAAGGGAACCAACCAATCTTCCATTGTTATAAATGGGAATTAAGCATTTAGCAGCTGCCGTGTTGCTCTGTGGCATCACAAAATCAGTAGGAGATGCAAGTACAAGCTTTGGTACTCATTTTCTTTAAAGTGGAGACTTAATTCCTTTTTCTATGTGGAACATACATCATTAGCATGCTAATTAGAATACAAACAGCTCGCAAGGGGATAATGAGGCAAAACTTCCATGCAGTGCTTGGTTTACGTCCACGTGACTCTGTAGAAAAATGTTTTGTTTTGCTGAGCTGTCCTTAATTTGAGGTTTCTTGCTTAATGAGACTTCAAACAAATTCTGCATTGTAGGTTTCAGGTTTTCATCCCAGAGAGAGGCTTGCGATATTGGGGAGGGGGGAGGCAAAGCGGCTTGGGAAACCTGAACAGGCATTAAGTAAGTGAGCATGCCTCTTGAGGAAAGACAGATAAGGCAGCCTTCCTAAATATGACAGAATGTAAAACTTCCTGTTGAAATACACCACAGT